TCAGTATTTCTTTGTCTCTGGAACTATTTTTGTTTATCAGTTTACGTTGTTCATTATATCCCACATATGAGTGAGATCATGTGATATTTGTCTTTCTCCGACTGGCTTATTTCGCTTAGCATAATGCTTTCTAGGTCCATCCATGCTGTTGTAAATGGTAAAAATTCCTTTCTTTTTATAGCAGCATAGTATTCCATTGTATAGATGTACCACAGTTTTTTAATCCACTCATCTGCTGATGGGCACTTCAATATATCAGACATATGCCGAAGCAATATCTTTACTGATATAGCTCCCAGGACAATGGAAACTAAGGAGAAAATAAACAAATGGGACTACACCAAAATAAAAAGCTTGTGCACACCAAAAAAACCATTAACAAAACAAGAAAGCCCACTGCATGGGAGAACATATTTTCCAATGCTATCTCAGATAAGGGTTTAATCTCCAAAATTTACAGGGAACTCATACAACTTAACAAAAGGAAGATAAACAATCCAATCAAAAAATGGGCAAAGGACTGAAATAGACAATTTTCAAAAGAGGACATACAGAAGGCCGAGAGACATATGAAAACATGCTCAAAGTCACTAATCATCCAAGAGATGCAAATCAAAACAACAATGGGTACCATCTCATACCTGTCAGAATGGCTATCATCAACAAATCAACAAACGACAAGTGCTGGAGAGGATGTGGAGAAAAAAGAACCCTTGTGCACTGCTGGTGAGAATGCAGACTGGTGCAGCCACTGTGGAAAACAGTATGGAGATTCTTCAAAAAATTAAAAATGTAACTCCCATTCGACCCAGTAATTGCACTTCAGGGAATATATCCCAAGAAACTAGAAACACCAATCAGAAAGAACATATGGACCCCTATATTCATAGCGGCACAATTTATGCATTATTTTTTGCATAATATATGCATAATTTTTTTAGTTTATTTTAGGCTACAACACATTTTTCAGAATGGCTTTCTAACACTTTTTTTTGTAAATAATGCAGTATCTTTTACTGTTTCATTTTAACTTTAAATTATTTCTGTATTTTCTCTAAATATCTTGAAGAATATAGTTATAGATATTATGCATATGCATTATTATTGCTTGATATTTTGTCATCTCAAACGTTTAAGAGCCCATGGGCTAAATAATATAAGACATGCTAACTTAGAAAATTGAGAAAAGATTGTTGGTGTTAGAGCCAATAATCAATACTGGTATTGTTTCTATCACTAATCAGCTTTGTGACTGTATAAAATCAATTGCCTACTATAGATAAAGTCAAGTTCTCTTCTTTTATTTTTACAAGTGAATATTTTGTAGAAGCCCTGCCTGGTCATCCATACTCTTCATCCCCATTCCCAAGTGGTGCCTCTCCTACACTGGGTTCCATGAAATCTGAAAACTGGAACTAGCTGATTTCCTAGGACCCTTCTGGTCTTTGACTCTGGTTTGGAATTCTTTAAACGGCATTGATGAAAATGCAGAATATAGCTGGGACTATGCACTGTCTATAAAAAGAATTTAACTTACTGTTTTGAACATGAGAAGGTATATAATGCAGATATGCTGCAGTTTTTTGCGATTATTTAGAGATAATGTATCCAAATGAACTGCACATGAATTTAAAAATACTTTTAAAGAATGTTTAAAATTGTTTTTTAATATAGGGAACATTCATTTGGTTCAATAAACAGGATTTTGATTATTAGTTCTTAAGAGTGGGTTACACATTAGCATCACCTAAGGAACTTTTAAAGCCCTATGGAATCTGGCCTCCATCATCAGAGATACTAATGTACTTGCTCTGGGGTGGAACCTGGATCAGTGTTGAAAAGCTCCAGGTGGTGGTCCCTCTGGCATACAGTTGGGAGAGAGAACCACTGGTATACATTTTGCAACATCCTATCAGAAGCATACCAGTACTTGGTTAATATTTTATCTGGATCATCTACCCTGTTGACAAACATTCTTATTCTCAGATGAAAGATGAATGTAAGAACAACATATAGTAATGTAAGTGATATGTTTATGATGAGATGAGAAACATGTCAAAGTCTATGCTATAATATTATATGGTTAGTAGTTTCTGTGATCATTATGGCCATCTCATGTTCTTTGCAAGCAGAGGTTAAGCTGTTAGGTAATTTATAACCTTTGCTTTTTTTTTTTTTTTGTAAAGACAGAAAAAGATGTGAATTGCCTTGAACCATGGTTAATAAAGGAAATGGATGCTTGTCTTTCTGATATATGGCTGAATAAAGATGTTGAGGCCTTTGCTCAGATTTTTCACCTTATTTTAACGGAAAATGTTAGTGGTAAGTGTAATTTATTTTAATTTATTAGTCAGATTTATGCTGAAAATTTAGTTCAATTCAAAATGTATGTACTATATTTTTTATTCACAACCAATAACTTATTCTTTTGGATTACTTATTTGAAATGCACACATCAGGATCTTCTTATTAGCATAGTACACTAAATAAATATTGTGTTAAATCAGGATTCTTAACCTAGTTGTACCAGAATAGTTTAATGGGGTCTGTGAGTGTATGCCAATTATGTGCAAAAGTATTTTTATGTTCATGTATTGTACACATACCTTCCCACTCCCAGGGGAATGGCTTGGATTTTCAAAACATTTGTGATTTCAAAAGGAGAAGAAAAAGAGCTAACTTTGCTCTAAATTTTTAAGTAAGTGAATGGAGAATTTTAACATATCTTTAGTTGTGTGAGCTCAAGTCCTAATTCACATGTACATGCTGTATGTCATGTGATATGTTTTCACTAGTGAGTTATCCTGTTGTTGTTAGTTGATGATAGTGGATATTGGCAACCAGAGATGAGTTTCAGAACCTTGAAGGATTCCTAGCAAAAGGTAGAATAAAATATCATAGAAAGTCAGTACTGGAAAGGATTTAGATGTTCTTTCACCTAAACTTCTCAGCATCATCCTATATAATAAAAGGCTAATATGCAAATTGTCCCTTTGGGAGTTGGACCGACTGGGAGTTTAACTGCTTGCTATGATGTGCGCTGACCACCAGGGGGCAGTGCAGAATAAAGGAACCCCAGCCGGCAGCCGGCAGCTGGGGGAAGGAAGGCCCCGGCCAGCCCTGATCACCAGCCAGGCCTAGGGACCCTACCCATGCATGTATTTCATGCATCGGGTTGGCGGGAGGGGAGGTCCCTCAGCCCAGTCTGCACACTCTTGCAGTCTGGGAACCCTTGGGGGATGTCCAACTGACGACTTAGGCCCATTCAGTTGTCAGTCGGGCATCCTTAGTGCTGCTGCAGAGGTGGGAGAGGCTCCTGCCACCGCAGCTGCACTTGCCAGCCTTGAGCCCAGCTTCTGGAGCGCACTGACCACCAGGGGGCAGCTCCTGCATTGAACGTCTGCCCCCTGGTGGTCAGTGTGCATCATAGTGACTGGTCATTTCACCGTTTGGTTGATTTGCATATTAGCCTTTTATTATATAGGACTAGAGGCCCGGTGCACAA